CTCACCCCTCAACACCCCCACACTTGAGGGGCTGAGGGAACCCGACAGCCACAGGCGAGACACATGGGACTGGGCACACCAGCTGTGGTTTGGTTCTTCCAGTGACAATCCCGGGATCTGAGAGCTGCTGAAGGGGCCAGCTGGACAGCACCGGAGTCCCGTAACCACAGGGTGGGGGACAGCCCAGACAGGCCAAGTCCCCCCGAACCACCCGCTAGAGGAACCCGTCTGCTGAAGCTGTTAACAGAGATGGCAAAGCCTCAGATCTCCCATGAGCCATCAAACAGCTATCAGGATTTGGGCCCAATCAACCCGTTCCAGCCACTCTGCTCCATCTGGCCACCCGGGGTCTCTGGTACTCGAGGGTGATGAGGCCTTTTGCTTCACTAGCTTCATCCCCAACCCAGCCAGCCTTATCTGGGGCACTGCCACTCCTCAAAGTGAACAGAGGCCCCCGCCCCACAGTGTGAAGTGCCACGGCCGCACCTACCTGCAGCGCCCCCACGGGGTTACACTCCGACTGCTGGGGCGAGACGGGCGACTTCACCTCCATCTGTGAGCTTCTGAGTGAGACACAACGACACCCAGTGAAGGGGGCTGAGCTGACCGCCTGGGCTGCTCCCTACAGCCCTTGGCCAAGGAGTCGGCTGGAGGTGCCAGGGGTTTGCGGGAGGGAGTGGGGAGCCACTGGCAGGAGACGCCCAATGGAACTGGGATGGGTGATTTAGTGGAAGGCACTGGCTGCAATGCCCCAGCAGGATGCTAGGGGGCACTGTGCTGCAGGGAGTACAATGGGGGGTGCTCTCTCCCCTCTGAGTCAGCGCTGACTCCAGACCCCGAGCCTGGCACTAGCAGGCAGTGCCAGAGGTGGTGCTGTTTAGCTGAGCCGTAACAGCGAGGTCCTAAGCACTGGGGGTCACACGAGTCCCCCTGGCTCTTTTCACAAGAGTTGGGGTACGAATCCCAATTTCGGCAATTCCATTCTGCTGCCCCAAATACCCCCTGCCCTTTCAATTACCAACAGGCTCCTTCTTTCACTCCCTGCCCTAAACTGCAGTTGTATCGCTGTAAGACACCTGCCATGCTCTGCCCCAGAGACGGCTGCATCGTGACACAACCCAACACCCAAAGACATTTTGGGATGAAAGGTGCGGGTGAGACGTACGTGCCTCTGAGCTCACCAGGCCAGAGAGTTTCCCAAGCACGGCCTCCAGCATGGATTGAGTGATTTTTGGGTGCCCAGCCTTGGACCCTGAATATACCATGGCCGGAAACTGGCTTAAGAATCAGGTGATTTTTAAACAATAATCACTGTTGGGTTCTTACATTTGCCTGGTGGTTACTAAACCTTTTGGAGCTTTTCTAGGCAACCCCCAGGGCAAGACACTTATCCAGTTTTTAAATGGAAGCTGAGATTCCTGTGAAATAACATGACTCCAGGAGCTGGGGCTTTAAGAATAAATACCAAATAGCATGCCGATTTGCAGTACTGCTGATAGGGCCCTGATACCCGAGTTCCCATTAGGCACCAGCCTATGGGCCAGGCTGGCAGGGAGACTACATTGCCCACAACCCTTTGCGAAGTACTCTACTGCCCCAAAGAATCATGTGATACAGAGTCCTCACCAGGCTTCTACCTACAGGCCGGATGGGCAGGAGGACTACATTACCCACAACCCCTCCTGCCCCAATGCATGCTGGGATATGGAGTCCCCACCAGGCTCTTATAACCAAACCCCTTTGAGGTGTCTAAGTTGAGCAGTCCTCCTCAATAAAAAAGGAGGTGTCCCAAGATCACGCTGGGTGATCTTGACCCAGAGCCCCTCTCTGTGACTTTCCCTTTTACCTGGGAGAGGCGGCAGGCAAGATGGGTGCTGCGGGGGCCGCCGCAGTGCTGAGCTGAGAAAGGGGCTCTAGGGAGAAAGGAGAGCTTTGAAAATAAAAGGTGACAAACATTAAAGCAGGCTTCGCGCCTCCGAGCGCAACAAGAACCAGCTCTTCCTAGCTCAAGACGCTTGGGTGTGGCGCCACTTGGGGGCAGGAGAGGGACCGTGGGGACTAGGGATGTTTTAGTAACGAATAATACCACCACCCAGCTCTAATGTAGTGCTTTTCACCCACTGATCTCAAGGCACTTTACGGAGGAGATCAGCACCATTATCCTCATTTTACAGCTGGGGAAACCGAGGCACGAAAAAGGGAAGTGACTTCCCTAAGGTCATCCAGCAGGTGTAGAACGCAAACCTCCTGAGTCCCAGTCCAGTGCTCTAGCCCATAGGCTGCACCAGCTGGGGGCTGTTTCCTCAGCCGAGCTTCTCCACCCCCCAGCTCTCCCCCCTGCCCCCCCAAATCCTCTCTACTCTGACAGGACTGGAGTGGGGAGTAGAGGACGGGTTTGGGTCTGGATGCAAGTTTGCAGGTAAGGGATCAAAGAAGTTGAGAAGCAAATTAAGCAAAGTCCCAGGTCCCCACTCTGCCCCCCTCACCTGGATTCCTCCGATGCTGCTGGCTCCAGCATATTTCCCCCTTTCAGGAGCTTTAGGGCCACCTCTGCTGCCTTGTGCTTGGCGGCCTTCTTGCTTGGGCCTTGACCTGGAAAGCGGGGTGTCTAGCAGTTAGAGCAGTGGGGGGCTGGGTGTCAGGAGTCCTGGGTTCTATTCCCAGCTGTGTCACCCAGTTGCTCTCTGTGCTAGTGATAGGTCAGCAGCTCCCAAAAGCTGACAGCCTCTAGCCCCCAAGGAGGGACAGCAGCAGAGCAAGGAACTCTGTCTCCATGGCCCATTCTGCCCTGAAGAGTGGCCCACGGGGGGCTGCCGAGTGCCAAGAATCAGGGAGGCTGTTTCTATGATGGAGGCACCTGTACCACTAGGAGCTGGGCTGAGACCCAGCCAACTCCCTCCACTCAGAGGCTACCAAACAAGACCTTAAGTGCTAACAGCTGAATCTAAGACCTCAAGGCCCTGGGATCCTCCCACCAAGGATGCCCCAGGCATGGTCCAGATAAGGAGGCAAGAAGCTCCGAGTTCCACCCGCAGCCTGAATGGGCCCCATGCATCAGGATGACAACTCCCATCCACCTCAAAAAAATCTTAGTCACCACTCCCTATGCGTGCCCCCACCGCTCACTACAGCACCAGCACCTAGCTCTTACGTAGCACGTCTACCCACAGGGCTCAAAGCACTTTATAAAAGAGCCCAGACTAGAGGCCAAGAGTCCTGATCCACAGCCCCCCTGGCTCCAAGCACTAGTGATACCTTTAATGCAGAGACACGACCTATCAGCAGGAGGCAGCTCAGGATCAGGCCCCTCAAGTCGGTGGCAATGCCAAGGCTGCCTCTGCTTGGGAGCAGTATTTACCCACCTCCCCCATGGGTAACTGACCAGTGCAGCTGATGTCCCCGACAGTCACTCGGAAGGTGAAGTTGGGCTGATGCGCTTGTCCCTCGGCTTTGAGTAGATCATACACGGGCGTCTTGCCTATTCTTGTCCCATACTCCTGGAGAAGGCTGATCGGGGTCTTTCCAGGATTGGAGGCAAGCATTTGCTCTATACTGGGGTGGGGGACACAACACAGGGACACAGGCTCAGAAACGACCACAGATCAGGGCTGGCCCTGGGACATGAAACACCCAGGGCCATTCCCAGAGCTGGGAAGGGGCAGCTGTGGGGAAGGAGGCAGCGGGAGAAGCTACCCCTCCCACACCAGAGCACCCCACTGATCCTGTGAAAGAGTCCCCCAGTAAGGGGGGAGGGCTGTAATGAGAGCAGCTACCCCCTCAGCTCATGGCAGTCTCCCTGACACCCCCCCCCCAAGTAGGAGGGGTCAGTGGGATCAGCTGTCCCCTGTGATGCCCCCAGTGAATATCTCCTCAGTACCCAGTTGGGTGGTGTGAGAAGCCGTCCTGCACCCCCTACCCCTGTCTGAAGATACCCCAGTACCCAATGGGAGCAGCTGTCTCTACCCCATGATCTCCCACCCCCCGTACCCAGTGGGGTGAGGGGCCAATGGGAGCTAGGGGGACATGAGCTCCCATTGGGGTGGTGATGGGAGGAGCTGCCCCCCAAGACCCGCCCCCGCCTCCCAGTAGTGCAGGGGGAGGGGCCGACCCCCTAGAAGACTCCCAGTGGTGGGGGCAGTAGGAGGAGCTGCCCCCCCAAGATCCACCTCCACCTCCCAGTGGGAGGGGCTGACCCCCTAGGATACCCCAGGGGGGGAGCGGTGGGAGGGGCTGCCCCTGGGCCGCCCCGTTACCTGGGGAACCCGCCACTCTTCCTGGTCCCACAGGCCTCCTCCTCCTCACTCATTCCCTCCTCCTGCCCCACCGGAGCCACCTTGCCCGCAGCCGTGGGTGGGAGCCCCTCTCCGGCCAGCGCGCGCCGCCACCGACAATGGCTGGGGAGGCCGCCAGCGCCGCCCAGGGATCCCTGGAAAATGGAGTCCTTCCCAGGGCCCCCGTACCTGGCCTAACGGGCAGGGGGACTACGTTACCCACAACCCCCAGCGCAGCACGGCGCTGCCCCCGATGCATCCTGGGACATGGAGTCCACACCACGCCCCCTCCATGGGGCCATGTGGGCAGGGAAGACTACATTACCCACAAACGGCGCACACTGGTACCCCCGATGCATCCTGGGACATTGAGCTCCCGTCTCTGAGCCTGGGAGGCAGGAGGACTATATTACCCACAATCCACCGCCGTGCGCTCAGCTGCCCTAAGGCCCGCTGTGATATGTATTTCCCGCTTGCCTTGCCGCCAAGGAATAGAATGGGCTGGAGAACTACATTGCCCACAGGCCCTTGCGCGCAATAAGAAAGGGAAATGGCGGCCCTGCGGAACGGACCGTTCTCGTTAGCCACCTGCCGGGGTCTGCTGATGTCATTGGTGACACTCCTGTTGTTTCCGCCCACCCGTGCACTATCTCCCATGGTGATTGGCTGGCCTTTCCCATGTCCCGCCCCAGTGTCCAATCCGCTCCTTTTATTGGACAAAAGCGCTATGGCCCCGCCCTCCTCGGCCCGTGATTGGCTGGTCGCCTCGGTGTTGTCAATGGGTGGCTCACATTTACTACCCTGGCGATGGAGGGAGCGTTATTGAAATGGACCAACTACCTCTCGGGTAACGGCCGGGGGCGGGGAGGCGGGTCTGGGATTCCCCTGGCCTGGGGGCCCCGAACCGGGCTAGGTCCGTGTGACCCTCCCCGCCCCCAACTGAACCGGGCCAAGTCCGTGTGATCCCCCCACCCCCCCTGAATCGGGCCAGGTCTATGTTACCCCCCCACCCCACCCCCCGAACCGCGCCAGGTCCGTGTGACCCCCACACACACGTGAACCAGGCCAGGACTGTGTGACCCCCCGCCCCAGAACCAGGCCAGGTCTGTGTGACCCCCCCCCAAACCGGGCCTGGTCTGTGTGACCCCCC